ATATATATATATATATATACCTGTCCTGGGTGAATAAATAAAACGGTTGCATCTCGTAACATCTGTGTTTTGTGTTCATGAATTGAAGTTGTCTATCTTGCCTGGACTTTTCGTCAAAGGTATCTAAATCTGTCATCATTGAACTTTATTGCAGATCTCGTGAAACAGGTTATTTCGTATTCTTTTGAAAAATCACTGATGTATATTTTTCAGGAGGCGGTTTCCGACACTGCATGCTTTCTCACGGGACGGAGTGTGTATTTGAAGGAAATTTTTACCATCAAATTGCCATTAACGTTTTAGTCTGTATTGTCAGGATATTTCATACCATTGTTCGATAGACGGTTCCTCGTAGTCTATTTTTCATAGCGGATGAAGACAGGTTATAACTATTTATGATGTAATCATGAAATAAAATGTGCATCATTCAATAAACCAAATGACCTGGTAACCGACCATACTCTGAAAGAATGATGCGTATGTATAGCGAGTTTCGTTATAGTTCTTGTATGACGACTGTGCCTCACACGAAATTCATCCTAACTCAATTATCCTGATATATCGATACGTTCTTCCTCCCCCTGCCCGGCTCACTTAATCTAATTCAGAATGATGATTTTTTTCCAGCTACCAGCTGCTCTTCCTAATGCGGTTTCGACGAAATCACTATAAATATGCCTCCACATCACCGGATTCTGAAAAATCCCGCATTCTTTTCGATAAACGGATAACTCGACTACGACTGTTAGTGAACGATTTAGATAATAAGATGGTCATGATCAGCGTTCCAATGCGAATTAAAATCGTGATTGATTCTACACATGCTGCGGTGTGTCATATAAATGATGATTTTTGTGATTTTTCTTTTTTTTTCTCTCTCTCTCTCTCTCAAAACCAGTGTTTCGACCAGCTTTGCCATTGCTTCGCTCTGTGCAACAATGGTTATCTAAGTTGAGAAAATGGACACAGCTATTTATTTACATTTCTGTCGCATAAACAGAAATTTAATACATCCATTTATTCACCTAAATGACCACACTCATCTAACCCACCAGTGGCTGGTGTTTCCTCTTTCGTATACCTTCAGTTGGCCCCATTGGATTCAGCAGTTCTTATTGTGACTGGTTTCCCATAGTTTAACCTAATCTTGTAAATAAATCGATGTGGTTTTTTGTCAAACGAGTACTTTTTAATGTGGAATAGCTCGTTTTTGAGGATGGTTTTTTCATGACCTGAAGAATGTTCTCAGGGCCAATTTTTACACTGATCATGTGAGACCTTTACAGTAGGATGTATGAGTTGTGTCTGACTTTACTTGTTTTGATGTATTTGGCAACATGAGTATTGTATGCGAGTAATTCTCACACTCTCATTTTTGACTTTTAAACCTCGCAATTCGAGTTATGGGTACCATGACGTAAGAACAGTGGCTCTTTGAGCGGTTGCGTCAAACCGTCTTTATCCTCATCCTCTTTCTTATTTTGCAGCAAAACCGATTTCACATATCTCTGTCGAACTCACTATGCACACTAAAAGAGATAATGTAAATTGGGAATGAATGAGGTCTATTTTGAGATAGCGAGGAGGAAAGCGAACCTCTGTCGTAAATGCATTCTTTTTCAAACACTCCGACCTGATTGGAAGTGACCACAAGAACCCCACTGACGTCGATTGGTTGCCATATCCTTCAGTCTAAGGATCCGATCAAGGCTAATCCGGATGATGGACTGAAATCTGTGACAACCCGTCAATCGGTAATAGTTAGCATTGAGCAAAATGCAGATCCACAAAATTCCCGTCGTTGATTGTTCGTGATTTTGCAACGAAACGATCGTTGCTTTTGCAATTCTGTTCCTTTTTGTATGACATCTTGTAGATTAACGTGGATCAGATAATCTAAATGTCCTTCTCTCCGTAGGCTGTTTTCGTAAATTTACGTATCGATTTCACATTTGCCGACATCTCCGAAATCTCAAGACACCGTTCGAATCCGTATGTCGCAGATATCTCAAAGTTTGCCCGAAAATCACTTTCCAGACGGTCTTTTCCTTCGATTTGTTTGTTCCCAACTTATCGGATTCATTGCCTTTAAAACATACGTGCTGACTCACCAGTTTTGGGGAAATTTACCGAATCTCTCTTAGAAACGCATAGCTCGAATAATGCTTGAATGCAAAACTCGTTTCTTATGTGGCCTCCCGATCTCGCTCTCTCACTGTGTTTGTCACTCGCTCGCTCGCACTGTTCCGCATGCCGATTGTTGAGCAGTTCTGCACACATTCAGAATCGCATTTCGCTCTGCTCACACAACCGAATCAAATTACAGTCGGATCGAAGAAAAAAAGAAACTCACAGTGTTTACACGTAACATCCTGCCTAAGACGAGCAATAATTAGATTCCGTCTCCCAACAACCCCAGTGCATTTGTTGATTGAGAGAAACGGAAAGAGAGACATCCGGTCATTTATCCGCCCAATCCGTGTGCGGTACAGAATTGAGGGCAGGCAAGGGTCCTTGACTCATTATGCACCGCGTTCTCAGTGATCCATTTTATCACTTAACCGCCTACTATTGTTGTCGACTATATCCCCTTCCGCTCCCACCCCTCACGTGCGTAAACTAATTTTTCTTTCGTGCTGCTGATTCATCTGACTGGCATAGTGATGCGCGGTGTGATCGCTTGGCAATCGAAGCTTTTGCGGCTAGGACGGAACCTTGTCGAGTGGGCGCGTGATCAGATCACTAATGATGATGATGATGGTGGTGGTGGTGAGGGCTGGCAACTGCTGATCGGTCCCGCGCAAGATCCGTTATGGAGCGAGGGGTCAGACGGAAGCAGTCCCAACTTCCGCCAAACACACGAGCACACGGTGAGGTTGGTAAGTTCTTCAACAATTTCCGCTCCGAGATGCTAATCCTTTCCGATCGGTGAGTTTTAACGCGCTTTGTACTGCCTTATTTTCTTCTCTCTGATCACAGGTAAACTTCTACTACGATGAGACGTTTGTATTGAGCGCTGCGATCGCAAGACTGCAAGAAACGACGGAATCATTAAGAGTACGTGATGAAGCCAACTCAAACTATTTTTCAGCTGCTCTAACTGTGATTTAAATATACTTTGTTTATCTTTCTTGACCACTTAATCGCGATTCATCTTCCGCTTCCTTAAACGTCAACCATCTCAGGCTCTCCCTCTGTTGTTTTTCTGCGTGTTGGGTGGCATTCTCACTTTGCTTGTTCTCACCTTCGTGTATTGGAATGTCCATTATGTGTGATATAGAAAAGTATTCCGTGAGCTATCGTGGGTAAACATATCCTTCTTTTGTTTTCATGACAGTTGCGGCATGCTTGTACTTAATGCATTTCCAATAGGGAAAGTGTTTTAAATGTATGACGCTCTGTCCGGAAAGTCGTGTTTGTACAACAGCTGATATAAGATGTGTGTTTGTTTGTGTAGAAGAGGAGAAGTGGGAAAATGAGTGGGGGCTTTTGTAGACGATCAGTTTTTCATCACTTACACGCCTACTCCTGTAGTGAATTAACGTATCTCATCGCCGGAAGTAAGGTGTGAACAACTTCGTGAACACCTTGACCCAATGTGACAAAGCAGTGTAAGGCAGATAGAGCGACAGACACGCAGAAATCGTGTGCGTGTAGCACCTGTAGT